GATGGATGGATGGATGGATGGATGGATGGAAGGAAGGAAGGAAGGAAGGAAGGATGGATGGATGGAAGAAGGAAGGACTAGCCATAGCCTGTAGACTTATATACTGCTTCACAGTGCTTTCCAGCCCTCTCTAAGCAGTTTACAGCCTAATGCCCTCAACAATCTAGGTCCTCATTTTACCAACGTCGGAAGGATGGAAGGATGGGTCAACCTTGAGCCAGTCAGGATCGAACTGCTAGCAGTGGGTAGAGTTTGTCTGCAATAATGCATTCTAACCACTGTGCACCATGGATGGAGGGATGGAAGGAAGGAAGGATGGAAGAAGGAAAGAATAGCAATAGCACATAGACTTATATAACGCTTCACAGTGCTTTACAGCCCTCTCTAAGCAGTTTACAGCCTAATGCCCTCAACAATCTGGATCCTCATTTTACTGACCTCAGAAGGTTGGAAGGCTGGGTCAACCTTCAGCACTGTTATGGTTGGAACTCCAGACTGCGGGCAGAGTTTGCCTGCAGTACTGCAGACTAACCACTCTGCCATCAGGCTCCACTGTGCCACTTGGTTGTAACTCAAGGATGGCCTGTAGTACCTCCCCCATCTTCTCCAGTCCACTTTCCTTCTCTCTAAGGTTAGTCGCAATCTTTGAGAATGCACCTTAGTTGCCTTGAACTGGCTGCTTCATTCCACCAATCGTAGAGCCATCCCTGTTGAGAAGCTTCCTTCCAAGGAGGTTTTCTTGGAAATGGAGCCCAAACATTTGCAAGAACCTTAAAGCAGGTAGGCATCTCACTTACCATGGAGCACTTCAAGTGCAAAGTATCGTTCAGCACAGAGCCAGTTTCCCAGTTCTTCACTTTGGCGAAACGCGGGCACTTGGAAGGGCTTCCGTTCAACACATTTTTGGTAGGGGACTGCTGGCCAGAAGGGACCTGAGCAAATAAGAGCAGAAAGAGAGAATCGTGATATATAAGATGGTTTGGTCCAGCCCAACGACTCAGAAAGCGGGCTGGGGAGGTAGAGCAGATAGTCATATTCCTCGAGCTGGGAGGTAATGTATGCACATTTGGAAGTGGTGGAGCCACACTCACGAAATGGTGGCCCCAACCAGTTACCAGGCCCTCATTTCATAAAAGAAGAACTAGTTCTTCACCCTCCTGGAAGGATCTTCATGGAACTCCAAATCATTCCTGCAAATTAATATGTCTGTGTGTGTGTGCTTGTGTGATGGGAGTTGCGTAATTTGTGGTGAATCAATCTATCTACCATCTATCTATCTATCTATCTATCTATCTATCTATCTATCTATCTATCTATCTATCTATCTATCTATCTATCTATCTATCTATCTATCNACATACATACATACATACATACATACATACATACATACATACATACATTCATAGTACATACATATATACATGCATGCATGTATGTATGTCTAAGAAGGAACTAGCAAAGATGGCTAAATGAACCACTTTACCCAAAATAAAGAACACATCCAACTTTGTTTCTCCTTGGAAACCACCTCTGGACTTTGTGCTTGAGATAGGGAAAAAAACCCGCAACATTGATTTGGGGTTTTGCTGACTCAATAGAGATTTTCTTTTCTCTCTTTATCGCTATACTTCTTTCTTTCCCCTTTCCCCTTCTTTTTTCATTTGAATTTTATAATTTGATCAGTTTAAAAATAATAATAATAATAATCAGAGAAGCCTCTCAGCGGCAAAATCTTCACGTTCTTAGGGTTTAACACATTTCTTTGGCTGCTTTACAAAATACAAACCACCTGTATTTGCAAGAATAACAGGCCTGAAAACAGCAGCTCGGCAATTGTCTCTCTCACACGAAGATTATGAGAGAGGGAGGGGGGAAATAATCAGAATTGCTATTCTGCTCCTTCGCCTATTTGAGTTTTTTTTAAAAAAATCATACGGGGAAATCAAAGCTCATTTTGTAACTTTTCTTCCGGTGCTGGCTTTCTTTTCTGCACTTTTTCCTCGCCCCAGTTGCTCTTTCTTGAAAAGCAAGAAATGTGATTCTAAAAAGCACTCCGGGCTATACATTTTCATGAAAGCAGTGTGAGATGGGTGGCTTTTGTATCTTTCTTTCTTAATGATCCTCTCCGAGTGGAATTTGCCCGCTTCGCAGCTGCTGCATCCTGGATGGATGTTTTTTAAACGATGCCATCCTCCGCGACCTTCATATTTGCATCTTAAAAAACCTGAGCTACAAAATAGTAATAATAATGCCTTGACGATCGCGTCTACCCTAGGTCTGCGTTCTCTCATTTATTCGTGCTTCCTTTTTCATTCCCAGTTTCGGTTACTGGTGTTTTGCTAATCTATCGCACATGTGCGCTCGGGGTGCATTGATTGAACGGCAAAGGAGCATTTGTCTGCGAACAGCCACATATCACTGAGCATCGAGGTTTTTTTGTGGCTGACATTCTTTCAGGTGGCACCATCAGAAAGAACCTTGATGTGAATGGCGGGGAACAAACGATGGCATTGAATTGCTGCTCTGCAGAGGTTTATTTACGCAATGGAGAAGAAATACGGCTGACGGGAGGTGGGGAGTGGGGGGGGGGACTAGCTGAAGAACCAAACAGAGGTGCAAATTAGTCACTCTGTCAATTCCTGAATGACAGATTCAGACATGTGATGAAGAAGGCTTTGAATGCAGAAGGGAGGAAATGAAACACAGGGAGGGAATGATCAAAGAAGGAATGGAAAGAGTCAAAGAAGGAATGACAGTGGGAAGAGTTTGTCTGCAATAATGCATTCTAATCACTCTCTATCATGGATGGATGGATGGATGGATGGATGGAAGGAAGGAAGGAAGGAAGGAAGGAA